AGATTCTGTGTCTCCCTCTCTCTCTGACCCTCCCCTGTTCATGCTCTGTCTCTCCCTGTCTCAAAAATAAATAAAACGTTAAAAAATAATAATAATAATAATAAATAAAATAAAAACGAAAATAAAATACTGCTATTTTAAATGTTCTCCTTGTATCTCTTTCACAGTGAAAATTGTCGTTCCTAACCACATACATGAACATAATATTAATTTGCATTGTCCTATGATTTCTATACGTTTCAATCTCACTGTTTCTTTTATTTCAGCTTTCATGTCCTTAAAAATGAGATGTTTACTAGGCACACGTTGTTTCGTCAGTTTGCAGTACTTGCTGATTCATCCTTCAATTATATTGTGAGTACATGTAATGTTTAGATGCTGTTGGTCTCTTTGGGGATATTTGTACATGTCTTTCTGTTCTTATTGAACATTTATTGAACCCCTATGCTTATAGACTCTGGAGATAGTACATGACGGTCACTCTGCTAGACACTAAGGACATAGGACAGAGGGCCTGACCCCAAAGAGCTCAATCTGATGCGAGGTATAGACGTGAGAACAAATTGTTTCAACGCAACATAGTTGCGCTTTAACAGAGGCAACGAAGATTTCCGCGGAGGGGTGACACTCCCTGGGCGGTACCTGTCAGTCTGACCATGTGTGGGCATGAATGGAACAGAAGGAAATATCAGAGCTCAAGATCCAAGTATCCAGTGACTTCCAAAGGGCAAAGGGAGGTAAAAGAATCTTCCTCTAGTTTCAAGCCATTCATCTTCATACTAGAAGTCACCTGGAGATAAAGCCCAATTTTAAAAGAGACTATTTTTTTAACCTGTTTGCTTAACGGTTTATTTGGGAGCTTCATTTATAAAGGTAAATGAAGTCCAGTATAGAAATATATCCAGTACATTTCTGGGGCGCCTGGGTGGCCCAGTCGGTTAAGCATCCGACTTTGGCTCAGGTCATGATCTCAGGGTTCGTGGGTTCGAGCCCCGCATCAGGCTCTGTGCTGACGGCTCAGAGCCCGGAACTTGCTTCGGATTCTGTCTCCCTCTCCCTCTGCCCCTCCCCCACTCATGCTCTGTTTCTCCCTGTCTCAAAAATAAATAAACATTAAAAATTTTTGGGGGCGCCTGGGTGGCGCAGTCGGTTAAGCGTCCGACTTCAGCCAGGTCACGATCTCGCGGTCCGTGAGTTCGAGCCCCGCGTCGGGCTCTGGGCTGATGGCTCAGAGCCTGGAGCCTGTTTCCGATTCTGTGTCTCCCTCGCTCTCTGCCCCTCCCCCACTCATGCTCTGTCTCTCTCTGTCCCAAAAATAAATAAACGTTGAAAAAAAAATTAAAAAAAAAATTTTTTTTAAAAAAAGAAATAAATATATCCAGTAAATTTCAAATAATGAGAAAATTAGCATGCTGTGAGTGCTATTGTATACCCATCAGGATGCTAAGTGTCCTGGGACAAGTCAGGTTTGTGGGAAAGAGCACAAGAAATACAAAATACAGTCTCTTGCTTTAGGAGGCTTCCAATTTAAAAGTACTCTTTTAAAATGTTTTTCAACATTTTTTAGTCTAAAACTGTCTTCTAAATTTAAGTTGCTGCAGGAGATGAAAGAACTTAAGAATGTTGACAAGGTAACATTAAATTATGTCCGATTTTATTTAAATATAGCCAGTAATCTGAGGCTTGCTGAGGTTTTAATAACTGACTCCCCTGAAATGTCCCTAGGCTGGTGTACATAGATAAAAATACATAGTCTTGGGGTGCCTGGGTGGCTCAGTCGGTTAAGCATTGACTTCAGCTCAGGTCATGATCTCACTGTTTGTGAGTTCGAGCCCTGTGTCGGGCTCTGAGCTCTCAGCACAGACCCCGGTGCGGGGCTCCCGGCTGGAACTCACACACCACAAGATCATGACCTGAACCGAAGTCGGTCGCTTCACCATCTGAGCCACCCAAGCTCCCCTGAAGGTTACAGGTTCAATGGGAAGAATCCTCATTTCAGATATTGAATCACCTAGACAAAATACTGGAGGACCTGTGAGATTGTTGTGCTACTCAAACATCAGGCTTTTTTGGGATTTCCCTGGTAAAACTGTCTGCTCCAAATGCGAATTGGCCAGCTTTTATGAAACAGAATTCTAAAATCTCAAAGTTACACTGATCTAAGCATATTAATAGATCCCGTCTTTTTTTTTTTTTTTTTTTTTTTTTTTTTTTTTTTTTTTTTTGAGAAGAATCTCTTCCCTGCCCCCAAGCGATCGGGTCTATCTTCCTGCGGAGGAGGGCTGGTGCCCCGTCGGGTCTAGAATCATCCATATGCCATTACCTCTCTGGGATTCCAGGCTCCTGATTCTTGACCATACATCCACACAGTATACGGGCCCTCGAGACACTCGTCAGAGTGGAGAGCAAATATTGAAGTAAAACAGAGGGGGGTGGAGAGGAAGAGAGGGAGTGATGAGTGAGTGAGTATTGGGTAACTAACATTTTTCCTCGGTTCCCTGCGCAGTAGCTGCCCATCCACTCCACAAATATTTATTGAGTGTAAACATGTACCAAGCACCATGCTCCGTGCTGGGAATGAGATAGCGCACATGACAGATAGGGCGCTTTTCTTTATAGACTGTACCTTTCATGAGATCACAGACTGATCTGTCCTGTAAACTGTTAGGCGCACAGAGATGAGAGTAGTGCCTGACTCACAGAGCAGAGAAGACAGACATGAATAAGGAAATATCGAACTTTAAGTTGCATGTCTGAATCAATGCTATAAAAAAGGTTTAATATTTTCTTGCTAAGGAGGTATACATCTGGGAAAGGGCACAAATACCAAGTGTATCATTCGAAGTGCTTTGATCTGCGTAGCCATCACCTAAGTGAAAGGAAGGATAGAGCATTCCCATCTTCCCTGGAAGTTTTCTGCGTCCCTTTCCAGACAATACCTTAGTCACATCCCCCACGCCGGATAAATGTTGCTGTGATTTCTATCACTGCAGGTTAGTTTTGCTCGCTCTTAAAATTTATGCAGGTGGAATCATGCAGTGTGTGTCCTTTTCTGTCTGGCTTATTTTACTCAGCATGGTGCTCTTGTGATTCATCCATGTTACTGTGTGCATCTATAGCAATTTCTTTGGATTGCTGAATAGCATCCTACGGTATGAATAAAAACTAATTTGTTGATCCGTTCTCCTCTGATGGACACCTGGGCTGTTTCCAGGTAGGGGCTGTTTGGGGGGGGGGAAAGGTGCTACAAACATTCTTGTACTAGTTATTTCTGGGAATATGTTTTTGTAACCCTCAGGTAGGACTGGAATAGCTGGGGCATGGGCATATATTTTTATATATTTTTTAATATTTATATTTTTGAGAGTTATATTTATATTCTGAACGTTTGAGAGTTCCTGTGGCCCACATCTTCACCGACATGATCTTGTCAGTTTGTAAAGCTCAGCCATCCTAAAATAATGTCTCACTGAAGTTTTAACTTGCATTCCCTAATAATTAATGATGTTAAGGGATGTCCGGGTGGCTCAGTCGGTTAAGCGCCCCACTTCGGTTCAGGTCATGATCTCACGGTTCACGGGTTTGAGCCCCGCGTCGGGCTCTGTGCTGACAGCTCAGAGCCTGGAGCCTGCTTCAGATTCTGTCTCCCTCTCTGTTCCTCCCCCGCTCGCACTCTGTCTCTCTCTCAAAAGTAAATAAACAGTTAAAAAAATGATGTTAATGTATTTTGCTGTGCTTATTGGTTAGTTTTAGATCTACTTTCGTAAAGGGACCGTTCAAGACTTTTTAAAAATATTGTGGCACAATACTCATAAGTTTACCATCTTAACCATTTCTAAGTGTGGAGTTTAATAAAGGATATTCACATTGCTGTGAAACCAACCTCCAGAACCCATTCATCTTGCAAAAAGGAAACTTTGTAATCTTTAAATAATAATTCCCCATTCCTCCTTCCCCCCATTTTGTCTGTTTTTAATTATTATTGAGTTATAGCCTTTTGTTATATATTCTAGATGTGTCTTTTGTCATATACACATTGCAAATATTTATTCCCATCTGCAGTTCCTCCTTCTATTTTCAGAATAGCATCTTTTGAAGGTCAGAAATTTTTAATTTTTGTAAGAAATTCTTTAAAAAATTTTTTTTCAATGTTTTTTATTTATTTTTGGGACAGAGAGAGACAGAGCATGACGGGGGAGGGGCAGAGAGAGAGGGAGACACAGAATCGGAAACAGGCTCCAGGCTCCGAGCCATCAGCCCAGAGCCTGACGCGGGGCTCGAACTCACGGACCGCGAGATCGTGACCTGGCTGAAGTCGGACGCTTAACCGACTGCGCCACCCAGGCGCCCCAAGAAATTCTTAATCTTAATGAAGATCAACTTAGCTTTTCCTCTGTGCGGCAGATTGTGTTTTCTGTGGCCTTGGCTGTATCCCACATTCCGCATATACTTCTGATGGGATTTTGATCTTCCTTTCCCACTGAGTTTCGCTGGTTCCTTTGTTCTAATTCAGTTGACAATGTATTCATGAATCTGTTTCTAAAATCTGTTTTGTTCCATTGGTCTATTTGTCCTTTCGCCAATACTAGATAGTCTTAATTAATATAGCTTTGTAATAAGTCTTGAAATCAGATAGCGCAAGTCCTTCCATTGTATTCTTCTTCTCCAAGATTGTCTTGACAATTCTATACCCTTAATACTTCCATATGTTTTAGAATCTGCAAGTCAATGTCTTTAAAAAATATATCCACCAGGATTTTGATTGGGATTTTGTTAAATTATATTTTTTGAGTCTCTTTAGCTGGTGGTTTATTTCAGAATGCAAAGACCCAAGTGGCTACCAGATATCTAGTCTAACTAAATATAAATGACAAAGATTTCTTTTTAAGTTTTGAGGCTATGCCCTACAGCAAGCTAGTAGATATAGTTAGCAAGGAAAATGCCACGATGATAGCTTTTGCTTCACATTATATATCATGATGTTTCATGATATAAAACAGCTCAGGGAGACTCTTCACTGTCCTATCTTTGCTATGGATTATACCTTTCATTCATGGCCAGTGAGGTTCATGCTAGCCTTGATGTCTAACTTGTCTATTATTAATTTTGTTACGTGTATTATCTTCTTGTCTGTATTTTACTATCTTTGCTCAATCTTTGTGTTGCTGTGTCATTTTCTTTTAGTTGTGAACTTTTTTTAATTAAAAAAATTTTAATATTTATTAAACATTTTTTAATGTTTATTCACTTTTGAGAGAGGGAGAGAGAGAGAGAGAGAGGGTGACACAGAATCCAAAGCAGGCTCCAGGCTCTGAGCTGTCAGCACAGAGCCCGATGCGGGGCTCGAACCCATG